TATGAGGTCTCCATGCAGTCTTCTCCAGGCTGAACAGCCCCAAATTCCTCAGCCTGTCTTCATAGGGGAGATGCTCCAGTCCTCTTACCAATTTCATGGCTTCCTCTGGAGGAGGAGCTATATTTTAGGCTAGGACATCTTTTAGTCCATATACTTAGTGACAGCTGGAAATAACAGGGCAGCAAGGACAGGGTTAGCATTGCTTTTAATTCTCAGATGTCTTAATTCTTTACTTCCCCTCAGTAAGCATCGGGAGGAATAAAAAACCTCAGCAGAATTCCTCCAAACTTTTTTTTATGCGAGGTCAAAACTTAATAATTCCAGGTGAAAGGGCAGTTCAGATATACTTTCATGGAGTAATTTTCTGTTCTTGAAGACACTTGTGCTTCGTCTTCTTTCAGTAACTAATATGTAGTATTGTAAAGCAGGAAGTAACTTCACAGAGAAGTGCTGACAGCTTATAAATCAGGTTTTCAGGTGTTGCACCCCACAGCATATGTACATAGGAAACCAGAACACACGTAGTACTTGGGATGAGTCTCCTTGCAGATTCAAATTTTAGCAGGTCGTGAAAATAACAGGGTTTGAGTCTTCAGTTTGGCAAAGTTGTGAGAGGCTGTTCTGTGTGTGTGACAGCCTCTCGAGGACATCAGCTGCATTGCATGGAACAGGCAAGTCCAGCACATCTTGGCATCTGCCAGCCCCAGCGGCCGAGCCACCGTGTGGGATCTCAGGAAGAATGAGCCCATCATCAAAGTCAGTGACCACAACAACCGGGTGAGTAGCTCCCCTGGGGCTGTGTGGGTGCTGGCAGAGAGGTCTGGGGTACTTCTTGGCCTGTAGGGACAGCTCACAGCACCCCTTCTTACATAGACACTGGTTTCTGGCTCAGTTTTCTCTTAAAAGGCTGTGTTTATGCAGAGGGATTGCCAGCATCATAAATGAAACAGGCAGATTGAAGCAAGGCAGGGCACCCAGATGTCCTATCAGGGTGTTAAGTTAGCTTTGAGAAAGCCCTTACTGAACTATTTGGGGCTACCATAAGAAATTTTTATTCAGCTAGTCAAAAATGACATTTTATGTGCTGGAGAGATGAGGCTACAGCTGATGTGCTCTGGGTGAGCACATTTTGTTTCACAGAGCAGGTGACGTCTGCTCAGACAGAGAGAGCTTCCTCCTTGGCATCACATGTGGGATCAGCACAAGGACTGAGCCCTGGCAGGACACAGGTGACTGATGGAGCTGTGGTCTGTGCTTCTGTGGTCTGGAGCAGGCTGAGCTGAGCTTGGAGAGGGCAAGGTCTGTGGTGGGCAGCACCACAGAGTGTGGTGCTGAGCAGGTTAAAGGGACTCTGCCTTGTGTACTTCTACCTGCTCCTTAGGCAGTAGAAATGTGGAAAAGGAGCCTGTTGTACTTGAGGAGGGGAGTGACATATTTGTGTAATTCTGTATTATTTTAAATGGAACATTGCTATAACAAACTTTGAGGATGTAGCAGGAGTTTAAAATGTAGCTTAGAAATGCTTATATGAAGTAACTGTTAACTGCACTGCTGCTTGGTCATTGCACTCTTCCTTGGATAAACTGTAACTCTTGATGTTTTATGTATTTGTTACCTAACATAACAGCAGCACAGTATGATGTCTTCATCATGTGGTTGTGGTCCTGTTACAGTGTTCACATGACAATGTGATGGCTTTTATTAGAATAGTAATGAAAATATTACAGCAAAAGCTTTCTCACATTAAAACACAGGACTGAAAAAGTCAGCACGACATCATCTCTTTGAGATGACCTTGGGAAACTAACTGCAAGTCTCACTCATTGAAATGAGGAGAATATCCCAACAAAATGCAGTCAGAAATAATGCCCAGAAACACAGCAACTGTGTCTTACTGTGCATGTAGGAACATTTGTCCTAGTTGATTTTTTTTTTTCACTTTAGTGCTGCTTAGTTATTTGATTCTTTGGCACAATGTTGTCCCTCAGATGCACTGCTCGGGCTTGGCATGGCACCCTGATGTTGCTACCCAGATGGTTTTGGCCTCGGAGGATGACAGGTTGCCTGTTATTCAGATGTGGGACCTAAGATTTGCCTCCTCACCACTTCGTGTTCTAGAAAATCATACAAGGTATGAGTCTTAAGCAGCCTCCTGCTCTGTGGTGTGTGCTCTGGTGGTGGCTGTGCACCAGTTTGTACATCTCAGTTCCCTGTGAAGGCTCACGTGGAGCTGGTGATTCCAGCAGCAAGCTGTACATAGCCTGGTACTTTTGAAGGGAACAAGCCCCAGAAATAAAATAAATAAATGAATGAATACTGCTCAAAGGCTCAAGCTACTAGTTTGTTTCTATGCTTTTTGAGAAGAGGGAGATGAGGTGCAGTTAGTAGTAGCTGATTTTTGCCTGAACAATGTCCTGAAGGTGCACCTGGGCTCATCACATCTGACCTTAAACAGTTTCTCTGCCCTTCAGTGCCCTAAATGCCTTAAATTTGGGTACAGTGGAAGATTTTGTTACATTCTTGTCCCTCCTCAATCATTAGTGAAGTTTTTTGTATTGCTCAAAACCAGTGCTTGATTTAAGGAGGGAGAACAGCAGTAAGTCGTCCTACCAAAACTGCTGCCAGTGGTTCTGCTGACTTGAATCTCCTGCTAATAAAAAGAAGCTGACAAACTTCAGTCACTGCCCTTACCTACAGGTTTGCACACTGTAAATGATACTGCAGGCAAACAAAACATTTTCTTACTCTGATGTCCAGCTCGTCCCATATAACTGCTGCATTTAATTTTCAGATACATTGTCTGTCTTCATACCTTTTAATGGGGGAAATAGAAAGCGTCTATATAAACAAATAAAGTGCTGATAACATTGGGAAATTTCTCCTCCTGTAGGAAGGAGGAGTGAGGAGGGCATTTTGAGGTGGGATGCTCAGCTAATGTAGAAACTTGGTTTATAAATATGCTTTATTTATCACTATTTTTCATTAAACTTTTTTTGCTTGTGACTTTCCATGCAGGGGTATATTGGCCATTGCCTGGAGCATGGCAGATCCAGAGCTGCTGCTTAGCTGTGGGAAGGATGCTAAAATTCTCTGCTCCAACCCTAACACAGGAGAGGTATTGTATGCACAGCACTTTAAATCTCTGTTCAGAGGTGGACATGCAGAGCACAAGTTGGAGTGCTTGCATTCCTAGGAATGATGCTTCTGTGGGATGTTTCTCCCTATCCTGAGTACTGGTGTTTGCTGTATGTGTCTTCTGAGCTTGTTCTCATGGTGCAGGGTTCCTTCCTATATTGTTATTCCATGTTTGTCCTTGCTGCTTCTCTCCTGCTGAGAGAAATAATGTCCCTGTTCTTTATAAGAGATGGAAGTGGCTCCACTGAAACTAAATATATGTTTCCTACCCTTTGTTTTGGGCCCAGTGTGGCTGGATCATTGGTGCAAGTGCCTTTGCCTTTTTCCTTCTGTAAGAACTTTTATTCGCGGGAGAGGGATTTTGTAGAATACTACAGGAATGGCAGATCAGCGAGAGCCACTCAAGTGCATTCCCACTCCACCCTTTTGGGCTTTCAAAGGGGATGCAGACCTGCTTTTCAGACAACTTGAGTGTTTGTCCCTAGGACCCAAGAAGGGCTTCAGGCTGGAGGGCTCCTTGCCTGCAGTGGCCAATAATCCTGAAGTGAGAAGTGTTTCTGAAATTCAGACATTAGCCCAAACATGCAAAAGCTGTAGGGTGGTAAATGAGTTATGAGCTGAATCCTGTGCTGTCACAAAGTTTTTACATGTGGATGAGTCATACTACATGTTTTTATCAAAAATAAAAAGCAGTTTCCTGGGAGACAGCATTTTGCTGACAGTTAGCCTTTTCTTCTGTGAGCTGCTCCTAGTTTGTGGTTAAATGATTGCTGTAAGAGGAGCTTGTCTGTTCCAGGGCACAAGAGGCTGTCTGCCCACAGTGCAGGTGTTACCTTTTCTAATTTTCCTGTGAAAGCAGACTTACTTTAGAGCCTGAACATCTCTCCATGTAGTGTGTAGAGATACCCCAAGTAGCTCTGAATAAGCTAGCATGAATGTCAGCAGCTCCCAGCTAGGACAGCACAGACATACGTGCATAATTTGACCTGTGTGGACTAAACAGAAGATATAATGGGAAGAGAAGGAAATGAAGAGGCTAAGGGAGTTGGAATTATTTAGCCTGGAGAAGAGGAGGCTCAGGGGAGACCTGATCACCCTCTGCAACTCCCTGACAGGAGGTTGGAGTCAGGTGGGGGTTGGTCTCTTCTCCCAGGCAACCAGCAGCAGGACAAGAGGGCACAGACTCCAGCTCTGCCAGGGGAGGTTTAGGTTGGATACTAGGCAGATATTTTTTACAGAGAGAGTGCTCAGGCATTGGAATGTGCTGCCCAGGGAGGTGGTGGATTCACCATCCCTGGAGGTTATCAGAGGGAGACTGGATGTGGCACTTAGTGCCATGGGCTAGTGACCACGGTAGAGTTGGACTTGATGATTTTGGAGGTCTTTTCCAACCTGGTTGATTCTATGAAACAGTGGTCTGATAATCTGCTGTTTGAGGATTGTCAGGGTTTGCCCAGTGTTAGTGTGTACTGTGATGTGGAGGCTGCTGGGGAGCAAGAAGAGCAGAACAGTCTCAGGGCAGGCAGGAGAATTGTTGCTATTGGACGAAGCTCTGATTTGCTGGACTTGGTTTTGCTGCCCAGGTGCTGTATGAGCTGCCCACGAACACACAGTGGTGCTTTGATATCCAGTGGTGTCCCAGGAACCCTGCGGTGTTGTCTGCGGCTTCCTTCGATGGGCGCATCAGCATTTACTCCATCATGGGAGGCAGCTCGGATGGCTTGAGGCAGAAGCAAGTTGACCAGGTATTGAGAAATGTCAGGGAGAGAAAGGGGGGAACAAAACCCAGGCTCCTGGGAAGCCTCCAGCAGCTGTGTGCTGTGCAGCCCTGCTTGCAGGAATACCAATTCAGTGCAAATAAATTATTATGTTTAGTTTATTGGAGTGATGTCACTTCTGTTTTTTTTCCCCCCACTCCTTTGTGTTATCAAAGCTTTCATCATCGTTTGGAAACCTTGATCCATTTGGCACTGGACAGCCTCTCCCACCCTTGCAGCTTCCCCAGCAGACTGCCCCACAGAGTGTTGTTTTGCCTCTAAAGAAACCACCCAAATGGATCCGGCGACCCATAGGAGCTTCGTTCTCGGTAAGCATGAGACATGGTTGGTCCAGGGAGGCAGGGAGATAGTGTTTAGCAGGTGCCACCACTTTAGGGGAGGGGAAGTTCAATATTGTTCCACGTTGGGAGAACTTCCCATTTGTCATTGTGGTGGGAGATGCTCAGGGCAGCTTCCAAACAGGGCACTTGGGACAGCAAAACAGCAAAACCCTGACAGAAATACTTGGGGAAAAGAAACATTGCCAACCAATATTTGGTTTGGTTTTGTTTTGGCATTAGGGCTTTGCTTTTATTTATGTGCAGTGCTTGCTTTGAAACAAACAAATAGACATTGGGTGGGGGGAATGAGACCAAACTGGGCAAGGCTTGAGTGTGGTCTAGAGCTGCTGTGTGAGTCAGGGTGGTGGAGAATACTCAGCTTAACTTTGATCAAAGTAGCAGGAGTGACTAGGTTCCTCCATGGCTGGTTGATTTGCAGAGGAGCCAGGTGAGGGGATGGCAAGGGCCTGCTCTTTTGAGAGCAGTCATCTTCTCTAGCTCCACCTTTGGCTTATTTCCTAAACCAACAAGTCATTTCTTTGGGGTCTCGTGGAGATTTTTAGCCTGTCTGCTTGAAATGGATTTCTTTGCTGAAATACTCCTCAATTTTCAGCATCATATGTCTGCTTATTCATGATCTGATGCACAAATTAAATGCAATTTTCTCCTGTCAAAGAGAAGTGATGTTGCCTAGCCACTGACTGGTGTGTCTTTTTATAATGGTGTTTATTCATCCTGCCTTTCCAGGAGCCAGCTGTCAGTCTTTTTCCTGGCTAGGCTTTTGGGTTTTTTAAATGTACATTTTGTCCTTTATTGGACTGGCCTGTGTAAACTAACTTTGAGCTATAGAATGAAATAATATTAAAAACTGCTCCTAATTTTTTCCTTGTGTTGACTTTACCTCTCCAAATGATGTCATAACATACTGTCCATCTCTGAGTGGGTTTTATCTGGTAAACAGCCTGACAAGTGCATTTATTTAACAGTGCATACGTTTCTCTGGTAATTGCATTGCAATATCCTGAGATACTCTGTTTATGCTGGGCACTGTACAGGCTCTCAGCTCTAGATCTCAGGTTCTGGTCAGTCTTTTGCCTGAGAAAAAGGAAGCACAGGAATAGCTGTGTTTATCAGTCTTTTTACATATGCATATCCTTATCCAGCAAGCTCCTTATATGCATAGAAATCCGGGCTGGTGGGGAAAAAAATCAGTGAGCTGATGTCAGGAGTGTTTGTCCACTGGATGATAGGCATATATATGCCAAACGAAATGATGTGCATACATATGTGTATGCATGTACTTTGTTATATATGTTGCCCTGTGTACTCTTATCCTCACATGTAGCATGTGTGCTTCAATTGCAGTTTGGAGGCAAGCTGGTTACATTTGAGAATGCCAAGGCTCAGCAGCAGCCAGGCATGGAGCAGCAGCTGCAGCACCATGTCTACGTGAGCCAGGTGGTCACAGAGAAGGAGTTTCTGGCCCGCTCAAACCAGCTGCAGGAGGCTGTGCAGTCTGAAGGCTTTGTCAGCTACTGCCAGAAGAAAATCGATATGGCCCTGGCTGACTTTGAGAAAAACGTGTGGGCCTTCTTAAAGGTAACAAGAGCCATCCAGGAGTTCCCTGCTGACTTGGAAGTGCTTCCTTCTGTACATTATGGTGTTTTAGCAGAAGCAATGCTGAGAGCCAAGAGGTGTAGGCTGTAGAAGTAGTACCCAGCAGAACAGAGAGGATCCTCAGGGCTCCAGAGGTGTTTGTGGGGTTCATGTGAAATCATGGTAGAGTCATAGAATAGAATCAACCAGGTTGGAAGAGACCTCAAAGATCATTGAGTCTAACTCTACCATCATTACTGGACCATGGCACTAAGTGCCACATCCGGTCTCTGTGGCTTTTGATATCCCCCATCAGTATATCTGTGTACAGGGAGCTGGTGAGAAGGAATAAAGCTTTAGGATAGCTTTAGATGGGCTTTCCAGTGCTCACTATGAGCATTTAGAGGTTTCCAAGTGCAGATTGTTCACCTTCAATAACAAGATTGAATCCTTGCCCACCTGCTCAGGTGCCCAAGTTACTGAAGACTTTTGCAGTTCTTTTTAAAGGGCAATGGATACAAATTGAAAGAGGGGAAATTTAGGTTAGGTATTAGGAAAAAGCTCTCTGCTGTGAGGGTGGTGAGACACTGGCACAGGTTGCCCAGGGAGGCAGTAGATGCCCCAACCCTGGCAGTGTTCACAGCCAGGTTGGATGAGCCTTGAGCAACCTGCTCTGGTGGGAGGTGTCCCTGCCCAGGGCACGGATTGGGGCTGGATGATCTGTAAGGGCCATTCCAGCCCCTATAATTCTGTGATTCAGTCCACTCAGTCATGAGCTCTCACTGGGTAATTTGTGTCAGTTGAGTAAAAAGCCTGTGAAGGAGAAAACGAAAAATTGTGAATTGCAATATATTCTTTAACTTTGCTTTAAAGGTGAACTTTGAAGAAGACTCACGTGTTAAATACCTTGAGCTCTTGGGATACAGGAAAGATGATCTGAAGAAGAAGGTAAATGTGCCTGGAAGTTGTGCTTGTATTAACTGCTTTACTTATGGATGTATCTGCACAACACAGCCTAAACCATTGATAATGTCATGTATAGTTAAGTACTCACTTACCTGTGGGACTGGAAGAACAATTACCAGTATCCACAGGCTATTCAATACAATAAACATTTTCATACAACATTATTTTCAATGTGTTTCCCAGCAGATAGTATTTATCAGTGCTGCAGCTCTCCAAAAAGCCATAATACAACTGTTCCCCATGGTGCCACAGCCTCTATTTAACTATGGCTGACTTGAGTAGGTGTGTTGCTTAAGGAATTCCTTTGTTCCAAAGGACACTAGAAATCTCCCTCTGCTCTTTAAATGTTGTCTAGATAAACATGTCTTGAGTGACTTCAGAATTCTTACAGCCAGCAGTTTGCTTTGTTAGATTCTTTTCATGAGCTGTGTGACCTTGCAATGTGGATGGATGTTCAGTGGAAATGTCAAAGCAGGCAACAGACTTTAGAGGTGTCTGCACCTCCATGCCCATTGCTGATCTGAAATTCTCACCCATCAAGAAGCTTTGATACTTACTGGTTCAAGCTATTCATGTAACTTTGTTGTGTGACATCCTTTTACTGTAGCATTATCTGGTTTTAGGCCTTCTGGTTGAAGAACATGTAGGCAATCTTCAGGGTATCATTAACTACCTTGGAAAACCTGGGATAGTCCTTTTTGTGGGAGACACCATTCATTTTTACAAAGAAAACCCAACCCAAAGAGGTCAAACCTGGTTACATTTCGAAAGGCAAAATTTCGATTACCAGGAACAAACTTGCACATCCTTACAGGGAGATACCTGCTGTGCCTTTTGGCTCTTTGCTGATTTCAGTGCTCTACTCAGGAACTGTTTATTATTTCTTCAGTTCTGTTGCAGTGGATTTGAATGTTCAGCTCATTTTCTTTGTATTGAACTAATGTTTTACCCAAGACTGACTCCATAAAACTGTCATTATGCTTCCAAATTAAATGTCCTTCAGGGCCAACTTAATATGATTACAGGAAAAAAAATCATGGTTTTGCTAACAGTCTGTTCTTAGCTTCTAAATTTTTGTGCATGACTCAATGGCAAACACAGCAGTGGAAATGCTGTTTTTGTAAAGCAGCTTTCAATTAGAAAATCCAGTTGAAACTTAGTAATGGGTCCTGCAGAGTGGCCTCATGAGACTAGAGCTCACTGCTGCTGTTGCTCTGGGTTTGAGATGACCTGTGCATGGGGAGAATGAGCATAGCTGAATGGAGTGGCCTTCAATGCCACTCAAGTGTTTGAGAAACACATGAGAGGAGCTGCAAGGACACAGTTTTATGTAGCTGTTTCTCAACCAAGCATTCCACATTTAAGTTGAATCCATGGGTTTTTAGTGCCAAGAAACAACATAAGACAGCTCATCTGAGAGTTTGTGATATCCAGATGATAAACTCATTAAAATCACAACTTGTTTGTCATATTATTGGTAGCGTAAGGAAAGCAAAATGGGGTCACAGATTTCAGCTTCTTGGAATAAGCTGTTAAGAACATGGAGAGGGGTTATCTTAAAACCTGTGATTCTCATCCAAGCCAAGTCCTGGATTTCTCCTTTTTATTGGAAACTAATGGCTAAAAAAGAAAGAGAAAACCATCTCCAGCAATTTGAGCTCAGCTTTATATCCAAACGAGCCCACAAGGGTAAAATAAAGCCTGCAATGCTCAATGCAGTAGATAACATTAGCAGCATTAGGAAACTCAGGCTCCCCAGTGCTGATCTCATGTATAAACTCTATACATTAAATTGCTGGTTTTCAGGGTCCTAATTGAATCTGAAGTCCTATTTGCTTTGCAAAGCAGTAAAATCTGGGCATTTTAACTCTTCTGTACCTTGGAAAATCCTACCCCAGGACTATATGCCTGATGTGCTTGAAACCACAGCTCCTGCTTCTCCTCCACAGGGATTGTCATTGCTTCATTTTCCCTCGCCAGAGCAGACAGAGGGTTTTGCCCCTCGTGTCCATACTGTTTTCATTACTGTGGTTTCCAGCAGCTCTAGCGAGGCTTCAGGCCCCTGAATTAACAATTAAAGGTTTAAAGGTATAGAGCAGCTGTTGTTTCCATCAGAGCTTGGGGGGTGCAGTGATCTTAGCAGTCAATCCATCACCAGATGGAAAAAAATGGCTTTAGTTTCATGTTAACTGTTCTGCAAGTGGCATAGTAGCTACATGTGCCAGCTTTGCAGTCAGAAATGGTGAGAGCTCTACTTCTCTAAAGGAAAAGGGTACTTACTTAAACCTTGGTTGCTTTCTAGATTACATCTGCCCTGAATAAAAATGGTCTTGCAGATGGTGTCTTGGGAGAGGTAAGCAAACACATCTATAATTCTGTGATTAATTTTATAATGCCATGGTAATGTGCAAAGTAAGAAAAATTTCTTTGTCCACTAGCTGTCCCAAAGTAAATCACAAATAATCCAGTTATTTTTCCACTCAGATGTTCCCCCTGTTATCAATGAAGGGCTCTCAGTCAGAGTTTAATTCAGGGTCTCACTGGTGTCCCTCCACTTTCCTTTTTGCTGCCTGTGTGTTGACGCTTTGTGCTGCCTGGCAGCTGATTTCAAGAGCAGGACCTTCACCAGGCTTTAAAAAATGCAAGACTGAGTGTGTAGTCCCAAAACACTTCTTAGCAGAGATAATTACAGTTCAGCCATTGCCCATTGTAATTGCAGTGGCCTTAGTCTACAGCAGGACTGCATTGCTTTTGTGCCTTAGCCAGTGCAGATGTCATCTGTCATTAGTTGCCTAATGGGGAAGAAAAGTTTTATTGCAAGATGAAAACAGCACAAGGCACTGTGTAATGGCAAAGAGCAAGGAAACAGGGACCTCTCCCATGTCTGTGGTGTTCAGTGCATTTCTGTGATTTGCAGTCTGGTTCTAACTGTTGCTGGTGGGAGGGTAGCTCTACCCTGCAGTGCAGAGTGTTTCTTCCTCTCTTGCTGGCTCCTTTTTTATGGCATCTTCTCTCTGCTGAAGGCTTCTGCAGACTCTGATGGATCTGTGCTGAACGAGGGAGAGGAAGGCCAGGCTACAGAGGAGCAGTTCTTGGGAGAGGTATCTGTTGCCCTCTACACTAACCTTGTTAACCTCACCATTGTTACCTAGTGCTGAGGATATGTGCAAATAGAAAAAGTTATTTAGAATGGTACAAGTTGCTTGAGATTTTTCTCATCAGCCTCAGACATCATGTGAATTGATTTTGGTAGCAGTGAAGAACAAGCTCATTTTAAATGAGTCCAATTGGCACCAGACTCAAGGACTTTATTTTGCCATCATTTTCACTCTGACATTTCCCTGACACATATTAAATTATTTGCTGCCACAGCTCTAATGCTGCTTTTTTTTCCCCTTTCCTCCTTCCCTCTGGTTGAATATTACCAAGCAAACATGATGCCCTGTTTCTAGGTATAAGCCTTTGTAGTGATGCAGCTGTGCTGCTGGAAAAGAGGGAGAGAATTTTTTCTCTGCATTGCTCCCACCAATGTCACAGTGCCATCCCATCCCCTTTGCACTGAGCAGAGGGTAGTTAGCTACTTTGTCAGTGTTTGTTGCAGCAGTTCAGCCAGGTTTATCCCAGGCAGTCTGTGCTCAACCATGTCTGCTTTTGGGATCCTACAGCTTTAGTTCATTACTGCTCATTTGAACAGCATTATTTTCAGCCCTGTGTTCGAAATACAGGGACAGACCTATAATTAGCACTAAAGACCCAGCCTCTCCCCTGTGAGCTCAGTAGCACCAAAAATATTGGTATCAGTGTGTGAACTGGCCAACCTCATTCCCTCAGTCTCCTTTCTGGGTTAGAATTTGAGCTGTTAGTCCCAAACTAGCTATGCTCCCTGTGCTTGGTGCCTGTCTGCAGTTGTCTGTGGAGATGAGGACAGTGGATTAAGGCTCATGCATGTTGGAGTGGTGCACTTGACTCCATATAACAAGCAGCTGATTAAGAACAATAAACCAGAGTGCTCTCCCTTAGGTGCTTGGTTGCTTGTTAATTCTTTAGGCAGTGTAGTGGCAGACACATGGATCTGACTGTATGAGGATTTTGCTGTATGGAGTCATGCATAGATGTCCTAGATGTCTCATAACAAACATTTCTTCTAGGAGAGAATTCACAGCTAAACGTGATGTTAGCCTACCAGCATGGATGGTAAATACTTGTGAGACTGGCCTGAAGCCACTGATGGTGCATTGGGGTGTGCTGTCACATAAACTAACTGGATGGGCACATTATTCCTGTGATATTCACAACATCCTCTCAACTGATACCAAACACACATCACATGTTATCTGGCAGTAGAATAATTTTCCAGACTCTACCTCCTTTCATGAGCCAAACATAAAGCTCATTTCAGACTTGCCTCCCCATCCAAATGCCTGGCTTTGGTAGACTCTGTACTTCATGCTCTGAAGTACAGTTTCACTAATCAGCATTCAGGCAGGGTGTTCTCAGCAGACCTGTGAGACTGTATGTACTAGAGCAATGGCTTGTGGCAGAGGAGGCAGTCTGTGCATCAATTTCTGTGCTCTTCTGAGGCTCCACTGTGAAAATTGATGGCAGAGAGAGACTTCCCTCTTGGTGGTGTTTTTTGTTATCGAAAGGTTTTGTTTGAAATCCCAAAATCCAAGTACTTGCACAAAATGGTCTTTATCTTAATTTCTGGGGGAGTTTTATAAAAAAGCAGTTTCTGTCCCCTGAGCACTTCTGTACTGAGTACAAAGTGCTTAAGTCTGCATGATCTGTGCTGGACTTGTGTTGAAAATTAAGCATGTGTTTGTGTGTAATTTGCTGAATTAAACTAGGGTGTATGCCTAGTGCAGTGTTTCAAGGATGAGCTGGAAGTACAAGCAGAGCAAAGAGGAACCCAGGTAGCATTATGCTAAACTGTTCTTGTTAGGGGTTGAAGTTGAAAGAGGATGGAAGGGAGAGGCTGTGGCTGTTGTTTTGCTTGGAGTGGGTTGTGTGTATATGGGCATGGATACATGGATGCAAGTCAGTACCCAGGAACCAAGTGTCTAGTTGCTGGTATTTGTAAGATAAGGTATAGTAAGTAAAGCAAAAGCCACACAGACAAGAAAAGAAAAGCAAAACAACGAATTCATCATCACCTCCCATGGGCAGGAGGTGTTCAGCCATCCCCAAAACAGCAGGACTCCACCATGTGTGACAGTGATTTGGGAAGGCAAACATCATCACTCCAAACATCCCCCTGCTTCCTTCTTCCCACAGCTTTATATTGTGCTGAGCATAAAGTCATATGATCTGGAATATCCCTTGGGTCAGTTGTGGTCAGCTGTCCCAGCTGTGTCCCCTGCCAAGATCTTGTCAGGGTGGGCTGAGAAGCAGAAGAGGCCTTGATGCTGTGCAAGCACTGCTTAGCAATAACAGAACATCTCTATGCTGTCAACACTGTTTCCAGCACAAATCCAAAACACAGTCCCATCCTAGTTACTGACAAGAAAATTAACCTTACCCCAGCCAAAACCAGCACACAGGGAAGCTTCCCTTCTAAGTTAATGGTCTCTGGAGCAACTGGTAGTCTGAAGGTCTAACTTTAACTTGTAATGGAAGAGCCATAAATTTGTTAAATGTGTGTGTATTCCAAGTGTTTGCATCATCTCAAGTATTATGCTTTTCCTTTCTCTTAGAGGCTGAAGGACCATAAACAAGAAACTGAAGATTTGGGATCTGCAAAGACAACATTTAACATTTCTGTTAGTGGAGGTAAAAATAAATCCTTGATTTCATTGTATGTGCTGATATTTATAAATACTGATGTTGACCCTGGTGCTCCAGTGAGAAGACAATTTCTGCAAAGATTTGGAAGGGTTAGAATGACTTGCCTTTAACTGCATTCATTTCACAGCAATTCAGGTCTTGAAAATACACTTCTTTTAAGGAAAGAAAGAAAGTACAGAACACTTGTGTACCACACTCCTGAAATGCAGCTGTCTGAGTAGTTTCTGATACAAAAGAAGACACACCTGATCAGGGATGAGGTGCTGGCATCACTGTTTGTTCAGAAACTCCCAGGGCATTTGAGTAACACAGAAGCCATTGACCCCTGTCTAGCTTTGACTTTTTCTCACACTGTGTGCAAGGTAGTTTTTTCAGAGGTCATTTAGACCTCTACCATCTTGCTCTGCTGCAAGGTAAGTAATACCTGACAGTGCCTCCTGTGATGTGGCTGTGACTTAATGTTTGTGACTGGAGATGAACTTACTTGGGCATCCCTGTGAGTTTGGAAGCAGGATGGTCTGCAGACAGCTTTGTGCAGTGTTGGACAGAATCACCTGCTGTTGCATCTCTAAGTGACTGTTGTGCCACCATTTGCAAACACTCCTCTCTCACTGCAGATGTGGATGGTCTGATCTCCCAGGCCCTGCTGACAGGGAACTTTGAGAGTGCAGTCGATCTCTGCTTACATGACAACCGCATGGCTGATGCCATTATCTTGGCCATCGCAGGAGGGCAGGAGCTGCTTTCTAGGACACAGGAGAAGTACTTTGCTAAGATGCAGAGCAAAATTACCAGGGTATGTTTTATCAGTTAAGAGCTAACATGCATGTATGATTTTGGCAACTCCCGTTTTTACCTTCAAAGTTTTCTTGCCATTTTATACATTTATTTCTGTGAGAAGTTAGTAAGTCTTCAAGTCATCTGAAAATTTCATAGAACCATAGAATTTTAGGGGTTGGAATGGACCTTAGAGATCATCTAGTCCCAACCCCCTGCCCTGGGCAGGGACACCTCTCACCAGAGCAGGTTGCTCAAGGCTTCATCCAGCCTGGCCCAGCCAGGCCCTCCCTGGGCAACCTGTGCCTGTGTCCTGCCACCCTCACAGGAAAAACCTTCTTCCTAACATCTAACCTAAATTTCCCCTCTTTCAATTTGCACCCATTGCCCCTTGTCCTGTCACTGCAGCTCCTAACACAGAGTCCCTCTGCAGCTTTCCTGGAGCCCCTCCATGTATTGAAAGGCTGCTATTAGGTCTCCACACAACCTTCTCTTATCAATTTCTGTAACTCTTTTTTAATGTATTGATAAGAAAAGGAACACCACCTGGGTATCACAAGAGTATTATTTATCTCACCTCCAGTGTCTGAGTTGTGTATATACTAATAGGTTCTCAGCAGTGAAGATAATTATCTTGAGCAGGACACATTCTATTCTGTTATTTTGTCATATTTTTCAAGAGTCACACATGACCCATGCTCAGGGCCAGCAGCATTTTGTTGGTTTCTGCCTGTGATCAGTTTTAACAGGTTTTGCTGATGCTTTGTTTCAGTGACTGCATGGAAGAGAGCAAAGTATGCCCAGGGTAGATCAATCTCCCTTTGTCTAGGCGACAGTGTGTTATGCCCTGTGGTTATTATTTTCAGCTTTTTTTGCAGTGCTGATGCTGCTCATTCAAGTCTTTCTTCTTTACTGCTGACATGAGAAAGTAGCAACAGGAGGATGAAACAGGAGAAGTGGCTTTCAAAGAACACAGGACAATTGGTTTAGCCAGGATGGCTGCTTTTAGAGGAGGGGACAAAGTTGCTCATAGTAATTTTTTACCAGTCCATTGTCCAAGAAAGGTGTTTTATACAGTACTAGGAGTGGGTATGTATATATATGTACAAAGTGGGTATGTCTTAAGTGTGCCCTCTTGGAGCAGGGTTGAAGGCTGCAAAACACTGTCACTGGAGGAGTTAGGGTATGCAGCACCACAGGCTAGGGTCTGTAAATGGGATTTTTCAGGTCATTGCCAGCAATCCAGCTTGAGATAGGAGCAATTTGCCCTTCCAGTACTGGATAAGTGCAAAAAGGAAAATATCAAGTATTAATATCGTAGAATACCTTCCCGTGTCCCCAGTTACTTTCCTGCCTTTGGCTTCTAATCAGAGAAAGGAGAATTTATAGCATATGAGAAATTTCTTCACTGTAGTTAGTCCTTTGGGACAAGGTATTTTCATGGAGAGCTGACCAGTTATCTGTGCCTGTGCTAACAAGCAAGCGTTGACCTTGTAGTTAGGATCTGGCATTTGTTGTTCCCGTGTGTTTTGTTCTTTCCTGGTCCCAAACTGCAAACTTACTGCTTGTTCAGCTGTTCCTGAGCTTGAAGTCTTGGCATGGCAACAGGGCTTAGTTCACTAAATAGCAGCATAGCTGCCAAGTCTGTCTTTTGTCTGAAGCAAAATAACTGGAGGCAGAGTTTGAGGAGGAAAAAACTGGAATGCTGTTCAAGGGGCTTGTGGACAGGCAGTTTGAGTGTTTGAGTAAAGAGGAGGGACACTACAAGCATCTCTGGTTGATAAGACAAGGTTATGTGGAGATCTCATAGCACCATCCAGGATCTGAAGGGGCTAGCAACAGTCCCAGCTAGTGGAGTTCTGTGCATTTTGTTCTTGCCCATTTTGTAGCAAGAACAGTTGACCTGTGTGTGTTGTCTGAGCTTGTTTTATGATTTTCACTCTACTCCTTCTGGAGTAAAACATACTCTTGAGCAGCTGTTGAGCTGCAGTGCAGTATCTGTTGTGACCCTGGATACAGTGGGGATGGGCAGACTTGAACAAATGCAAATTATACTGTATCTTAAAAAACCCAGAGGAAATCCTGCCAAGATCTTAACTGTGGTTTCTCTCCTTCTGGTCTAGCTCATCACTGCAGTGGTAACGAAGAACTGGAAAGAGATTGTGCAGTCTTGTGACCTGCAGAATTGGAGAGAAGCTTTGGCTGCTGTGCTCACTTATGCCAGGCCAGATGAGTTTGCAGGCCTTTGTGGTAAGGACACTTTACAGATTGGATGTGATTTATTCTACTTCCAGCCAAACGACACTTTGCCAGGACTGTTCTCCTTTCAGTATACTGTTGCAATGCCTTGCTGGCTGCTTTCATGGATAATATAGCTCCTCAGTCCTGCTGCAGAGGAGGAGAGAAACCAGCCTTTGGGGTGCTGCATTGCCAGGACATTCCCTGATTTTCTGTGCACAGAGCTCAGACCCTTCTGAGCAGCTGTGTCCTGGTATTGCCTGTGCAGTGCATAGCTGCTGGTCTCTTACCATTTCAGATGGGCAATAGGGACCAGTGTCTTGGACTGTTTGCACATGAGATGCAAGTAGAAGTGTTTCAGGGAAGCACTTCACTGTTCTTTCCCAGTATCAACTTGGACTTCTTGGGAAGAGTCCTTTTTGACAGGCAGTGAGCATCCCTGCCCTTGTGTGCTGGATGGCAGACAGCTAGCTGGGTTTAACCCACAGGGAAGTGACATTGCCAGTAGCTATGTGCCTGACACCCTGTGCCTTCAGACACCAGCCATGGTGTCTGGGGAGGTGTGTGACTCATCTGAGCACACATCAGCTCACAACAGTATCGTGGCTTTGCTCACAGTTGCACACTCAGGTCACACTCCTGCAGTGAGGGACTGCAGAAGTGGGTGGTGGAGGGGAGAGTCAAACCCTGGCCTCTTGTCCTTTGTCACATTGGCAGATGGACTGTGCCCTCTGGTGCATCTCAGGTTTGCAGTAATTTGACAGCTTCTTGCTGCCATGACAATAACTGTCTCTGAAGTGCCCTGGACTCCTGTGAGATAATGTGTGCTGGACACTGGAGTATGTCCTTACCAACAGAGCCCAGAGGCAGCATTGCTTTTCACTGCTGAGCAGAGAAACAAGAGGTGTTGTAAGCTTCAGCAGTGATGGGGAGGGATCACTGAAGTGATTCACCAGCATCTTTGTCATATTTTATCTAGATCTCTTGGGTAGCAGGCTGGAGAATGAGGGGGACAGCGTTCTGCAGACACAAGCTTGTCTCTGTTTCATTTGTGCCGGCAATGTGGATAAACTCGTTGCTTGTTGGACCAAAGTTCAGGATGGAAACAGCCCCCTGTCCCTTCAGGTTGGTGATTCTTTTAAGAAAGGTGTTGGAAGTAACACACTGTGATCATTTGGTGTTTGAATCAAATGATGTATTGTAGAGCTTTGCTGTCTGATAGCTACATGTCTATCAAGCTGCTTGTCTATCAGGGTGCAAGCCTTTTCCTCCTGGAATTGGGTGGCTTTCCTAAAAATAACACATGAATATGATGCTGGAAAATGTGTTGCGAAGCACAGTAGCCCTCGTGTTTGCTCCATTCTTTGGGTAGTTGTGTTAGTACACTTCTTGTGTAAAAAGGCAACTATAGGGCTTTAGAGTAAAGAAGAAGGGTCTTTGAATGCATCCTTTGCAGTTAGGGAATACTTGGACATTTCTACTTTTGGATGGCCTAGATGTTCAGGAGAAGAAATCTAAAGAATTAGAATTAAGTCTGGAGGGAAAACTGTAGGAAGGTTCTCATGAGAGTTTTCCCTATGGGGTTGCACATCCAGGGCTTGGTTTCCAGCAGTGAAATATATTGCATGTAACAAATATCTTGGAGGAATAGGATTGATGAGTGGAATGAAGCAATTATGGAATAATTTTATAGCACAATCTTAGTTACTTCCATCTGTTCAGGGCCTTTTGAAGGACCAGTTTTAGAAAGCACTTAAAGTAATGTTACTTAGTGGTGCTGTGAGTCTCTTGTTTAGCTAATTGAAGGAACTGCAGTGTGTATGAGCTTTGCTTCACATTATTAACTCTCTCCAGTTTTGAATTAGCAAAGCTTCTTGATTTTGAGGGCTTTATATCCATATTTACCTTCAGTTTCAATTTGCATTTTGGTTGCATTACTTTTTTCTCTAAAATTGAAAAGTAATTGCTGAAGTCATAATTAGGTTGCTTGTTTACTATGATGTGGAATTGCAGAAACTTGTAGAAGCTGTTGGTTATCATGATTTTTTTCCTTTTGTTATTAACTTGCCTTTTTTGAAGTGCTGATTTTGAAAAACGAAAATCATAGATTCCTAGAATTTTAGGGGTTCAAATAGACCTTAGAGGTTATCTAGTCTCAGCCCCCTCCTACCTCCCTGGGCAACCTGTGCCAGTGTCTCACCACCCTCACAGGAAAAAACTTTTTCTTAATATCTAACCTGAATTTGCCCTCCTTCAATTTGTACCCATTGCCCCTTGTCCTGTCACTGCAGCTCCTAAGAGACAGTCCCTCTGCAGCTTCCCTGAAGCCCCTTCAGATCCTGGAAGGTGCTATGAGGTTTCCACACAACCTTTTCTTCATCAAAATGTTTTATAAAGCAGGCACAAAGCAGTTCTTATTCGTGATGTGTGGTTAAAATCCTTGTAAGATTTTTATAGGGGATTGCATGTTAATTTTGGCCAATGAATATTGGTAGTATCTTTCAATATAAATACAGTGAGAGTAAGAAAAATATGAGGAAAATGAGCAGAAAATGTTCCTGTAATTTAGGACCAAGAGGAAACCCAACCAAGACCAGCTCTGGTGTTTGGGGATATGAAAGAAAGGCAAGATGTAGAGTATTCCTTGTGAATCAGTCCTCTACAGCAGTGGTTAGCCATGGCCCTACTTCACTTGGTTGTAATTACCTGGGGGTGTTTTTTTTCCCCTGATCTTTCAGGATTTAATAGAGAAAGTCGTAATCCTGCGCAAAGCTGTGCAGCTCACCCAGGCTGTGGACCCTAATGCTGTGGGGGCCCTTTTGGCTGATAAGATGAGCCAGTATGCCAACCTCCTGGCTGCTCAGGGAAGCCTTGCTGCAGCTTTGACCTTCCTCCCTGCAAACACCAACCAGGTATGTGTGAACAGGTATACTTCAAGCCAAGGTCTCTGCACGGTGCAGTTAGACATCAGGACGTGCACCTCAGGGTGTGATGGGTCAGGCTGTTTCCCCTCACCCTGCACAGCACCTGCTGAGCTGGCAGAAACACACAGCCACCTTCTGCTCCCTCTTCATTTCACACCCTTGTCCCTGCAGCCAGTGACTGCCAAAGGGTGTCCATCCTGCAAGGCAGACGTGGCAGATGAAATATGTACCTTGACATTTGGCTATTTACTTTTAGTTTCTCATTCTCCATCAGCTGATACTTGGCTGCTTTGGGAATGAGGTAGGCACATGTAAGGCAGTTCCAATGGCCCCATGTCTCATGCAGAAAAGACTTACTCCAATCAAATGAAGCAGTGCAGGTTTCTGAGAGGGTGTGTGGCCAGTCAGCCTCTTGGTGTGATGCACTGGCTGACAGGCAGTGCAGTTAACCTTCCTTCACTGTCCTTTTCTGATGGCAGCCGAACATCGTGCAGCTACGGGACAGACTTTGCAGAGCCCAAGGGGAGCTGCCAGTGGGACAGGATGGCCCCAAGGGACCATATGAGAGAGAGCCCATGCCCAAAGGACGAGCTGGCCCCGTGGCTGGACGGATGCAAGCACCCCAGGCTCCAGGCCAGCAGTATTACCAGCAGGTAAGTGTTTTTTGCCACCACAGCAAGCTGCATCTTCCCATTACAGCTGCTTAAGTTCTGGAGAGTGATGGATATAATTTCATTCCTTTCTCTCGATCACACCTCTACCTTGTGGTAAAAATCATTGATGTTTCCTTTCAATCAGTACAGATGCCTCCTTTACTCCTCGTGTGCATTGCACACCTCGTCAAGTAGCTTACTTCTGAAGATTAGGTGTTTTCCCTCTTTGAAAATGTCCTTCAGTGCCAAGAACAGCTGTGTGGGAGAGCAGTGCAGGAGTTTTCTGTTCTTCCTCTCATAGTCCCTGATGCTGTCCCATTCCTGCAGGCCCTGGGGGTTGTTCATGCTGCTCAGCAGCTTCTTCTGGAGCTGATTATTCCTGCCCCCAGCCCTGATCTGACATTGGCTGCAGAAGTTGCTGAGCCATGGCAATAGCAAACTGAGGGCATGTTTCAGCAGCTGTGGGTACAGCCTGCTATGAAAACACCTTCCCAGCCAGGTGTAAAGGGGCATAAGCAGGTCTGGGCTGAGAGTGAGCTGCACTAGAAGAAAGACCTGGTGAGTATGAGACTAATAAGGGAGAGGAGAAATGGGGAATGGAAATGTCCTGGTTTTATCTCTAATCTGAGGATGACACTGCAACAGAACACACTGGCCATCACCACAGTGTGGTGTGGTGGGCAGGTTAGGCTGTGTGCATGCTCAGAGAGCATGGCCAGGTCTCTAATCCCTCAGCACAGTGCTGCAGCTCATCTGGTCTTGCTGTACAGAGGGGCTCTGGGCTGGGCTTTTCTGAGAGCAGAGCTGTATCAGTGCTGCAGGTGTTCTCCTTACACAGAGGAGATTGGCACAAGCAGAGCTGTGTGTCTGTGCTGCCCTCAAGCACTGCCTGCCATAAAAACGGGGCAGGGAAGAAGAAGGGCTGAAAGATTGGGGGGAGTTGGGAGTTCTGGATGTCAACAATAGTGTGCCTCTGCCTTCTCTCCAGGGTGTTAGCAATGTAGATTTCAGAAAGGATAAAGCTTTCATCCAAGATTACCTTGCTAACACCATTGCCTATGGGTTTAAATGCATCATTGTCAGTAATCAACTCTACTATCCTGTCTGTGTCCTTGGCTTCCTCCTTGTAACCAATGAGTTGCCTTGAGAAGCAATGCTCTGTTTCCCCCATTTGGCTGTGGAGAATAGCAGCTCTCCTCTAGATGGAAAGATCTTGGAAAGGCTTTTTTGAAACACAGTTTCCTCTTTCTCCTACTGTTTCAGGAATGTCTCAAGCTATTATTTCAGCCAGCCCTGCTCACTAATAAAAGGCTGGGTCTATCACAACCCCACGAGCACACTGAGTGAGTTACCTGCTGTGTTCTTGGCTTTTCAGGGAGTTAATTCCCAGCAGGAAGAGCTTGATGGGGACAGATGTGATGTCAGAAAAGTGCCCAGCAGTATGCTGATGAACCAGAATGAAGAAAAATTACATATTTGAGTTTGACTTCATTTTAAGAAAGTATATGCATAGGACTTAGTCAAGCCTGAGGCAGCCTTTGTTTAATTGCTGTCTCAAATAGGAATGTATACTTAAAACCTGGATTCCTTTCAGCATAGGTTTTTTGAACCCTCTGTTTCATCTGAATAAACCAGGCATGAAAGGGAGTGAAAAAACCTTTCAGATGACTCCAGCGATGAGCTATGCAGACATTAACAGTGGTTGTTGTACAGTTGACTGCACCATTAGCCTAGCACTGTGTGGGGTTAGAGACACATATATTGAAGTCAGCTTAACCCAGCCAGGGCTGCAGGGGCACAGCTTCCCTCTGCCTGTGCCCAGCATCTTGCTTTTGGTCAGCATGTCCTCTTCTTGCTCATGGATGCCACAGGCATAGGAGGTTCTTAGTTTCTGCCCCATCAGAAAGGCAGAAGTGGTCTCATGGAACTGAAGGACTTTGGAGCATCAAAGAAGGAAGATAGAGGAAAGGAGCTAAAGGAGACTGGCTGGGAAGCAGTTACCATTAGGATGTGTACTTGTGCATGTACAAGAGCTGAATATCAGATTTTTAACCTTTTTTAATTCGTCTTAAGCTCAATTTAAACAGAATGCTGTAGTGTAGGACAGTGTGTTTGAATTTAACATGGAACCTGGGACTTGCAGCTGTGGTTAGTGATGCTCAGTGTCATGGACTAATGGCAGGGGACTGCTTCTGCAGCAGGAAAATGTGATGAGAGACCTGGCTCACTGGCACATATAACACTGCACTTGCTCCACAGCCTGTAGTAGCTGCACCTCTGCTGTGCTTCGTCTTCACTCTGCAATTCACTTTGGCACCAGTGCACGGTGATTTTGTCTGTCTTGAATGCACTTTTCCTTCTTCCTCTGAGATTTTTATGGCTGTTACAAGTGCCAGCATGCAAACCTTCTTGCCTTCACTTCTTTGCATCTCGTTTTGTGAAACCCTTTAGACTTTTTTATTGTTTTGTTTTCCATGATTGGTATTTCTTTGTTCGATTCAGGTTAGAATTGCCCCTACTGTCACTACCTGGAGTAACAAAACTCCTACTGCCCTTCCCAGCCATCCTCCTGCAGGCTGTCCCTCTGACACACAGGTATAACCTTCATTATTCCTCTCTGAGCCCCTGCTCCACCCCAGTATGTCCCCTGGTGTAGTCTGGGTGCTTGACACAGTCTGGTGCAGATAGACAGAAGGAGCAGCTTCCACATGTGCTCTAGTTTTGCTCCTCTGCACCTTGTTACTTCTTTTTCCATCAATGCCCAGATGAATGGCTCTGGAAAGCCTTGAGTGGGAGCTCAGTGTGACCTGAGCCTTCCCAGCCCTTGCCCCACACTGGAGTATTTGAAGTATGATGATGTTTTTCCTGTTCCTCTTTTCTGTGGAAATTAGAGGCTTCGGAGTTAACGTTGAAGTTGTTCAGTTGAAAGCTGTGGATGTCAGGGTGCTCCTCAGACTGCCTGAATACCAGGCAGTGCTGGCAAGGACCTCTTCCTTGTGCAGGAAGGTGTTTGCTACTCTGCTTGCTGCCCAAGTCACTGCACATACAGGCTGTGCTTTCAGTGTTCTGCTGAGTGCCCTAGGGCACTGGGGTGGTTGGAGGCATTTGCCCCTGTGCTGGTGGTTCTTCCAGGGAATGTGGTTTCAGACCTTGAAACATGAATTGGTCATTTTGTTACAGTTCTGATTCAGCACTTCATTACCATTGCTGACTAAATTCTTTCTCTCCCAACCATTTTTCCTGCAATTTTTTTTTTTTATAGGGAGACAACCCACCTCCTCCAGGGTTTATCATGCCAGGTGCTGTTAACCCCAACATGCCACCACAGCAAGCTGCATCTTCCAATTACAGCATGTACTCACAAGCAGGGACACGGCCAACATACCCACAAAGTGAGTAACAGCAGCTTCCCTTCTCCTCCCTCCCACCAGCAGAGATGAAGCTGCATTTACTTGGGGATAACTAGTCCCTTGCTTGAGGTTGGAAGTGTTCAGACCAAGCCAGTCCCACGTTTCTTGTTGAGGGGAAAAAGACTCCTGAGACAACATCCAAGGATTGTCATTTCTTGGTGGGGTCGAGACATTAGACACCCTCTGTCAAACACTGTCTCCTCTGCTAAGAAGGTATCTACCCACAGCTCTTAGACTCACTGCTCAGCTGGCCCTTCTCAAGGGTGTGCTGGGGTCAGACATTCCGAAGTCTGAGTCCTGGAGAAGCAGCACAGGTCTGGCAAAGAGGGACACAACTCATCTCTGTGTAGCTGGGCTATCCTGTTCTCACGGGGGCTCCATGAAGATTGTAAAATCATAGAATTTTAGGGGTTGGAATGGACCTTACAGATCATCTAGTCCCAACCCCCTGCCCTGGGCAGGGACACCTCCCACCAGAGCAGGTTGCTCAAGGCTCATCCAACCTGGCTGTGAACACTGCCAGGGTTGGGGCAGCCACAGCCTCCCTGGGCAACCTGTGCCAGTGTCTCACAGATGGGAAAGGGGATGAGGAAACAAGGGCAGTAGTAGAAGTGAGTGGGGAAGGGGGCAGAGCACTGGCACACTCAAAGCAGGGACTGGAAGTACCAGGTATGAGAGAGGAAAAATGGGCATAGATAGGCAGAGAAGAGGAAGTGAAGTTAAGCTGCAGAGCCCACGGTGAACTGCTGTGAGTTTATATTCATTTCCAGAATCTGCTGTTTATTTTGTTGGCCTAGGCTTTCCCTTTGTGCCAACCTGGGGCAGGGCTTTCCCTTCCCTGAGAGACACTGAGGGTTGCAGTGGCCCAGAAAACAGCAGTGCCCATGTGCCACAGCCCCACCCCAAGTGATGTGGTGGCTCTGGGCTGGAAAGGGTGTGTGGGAGAGCAGAAGTCTGTGAAGCTGAGGCTCCCTGCTCCAAGTGGCAGGCTGGGGTTTGGGGCAGTCCTATAAGTGCAGGCAGAGCTGTAGGAGCCAGGATTTGGCTGGGCAGGTAAGTGGTGTGAGAGGGTAGGGGCATGGAAAGAGGTGAGTCAGGTGAAGAAGGAAGTGGAGACAGATGAAACTGCTCCTCTGTTATGAACTCACTGACTGACTGTTTTTTTCTCCGTTTGTAGCGTATCAGGCCACACAGCAGTACTCCTCTGGAACAGGGGGACCAGCCCTCTATCAGCCTCAGCAGCCTATCGCTGTCCCTGCTTCAGCCTCTTACCCTAACCCTGCCCCTAACACCACCTCTCCCTACCTGCCCTCTGCCCCTGCCCACTCCATGCCCTCCCCGCTGTACCCCGGGCAGCCTCAACCCTCCCCAACCAGCCTGAATCCCGTCTCTTCCTTCCCTGGTCCTTCTTCTGGCACATCCTTTCAGCATGGCAGGCCAGGACTTCCAGCAACTTCTGTGGCTTATGCATTACCTACTGGACCAACAGGTACTCTGCCTGCAACCAGTGACCTTCCTGCATCGCAGAGAACAGGTCTGCGCTTGGACCGGGGGGGCAGGCAGGGAGGGGGGGAGGGCTCACTGCAGTATGCACCTTTTCCTTGTGAATGCTCTGTACAAAGTTTGCTTTTGCTTAGAGATCAGTTCAAAGCATTTCTAGAACACTTCATCATCCCTGTGCATCTCTGGCAGTGATAGCCCATATTGCTGCAGTGAGCTGAGCAGTGTAAGAAGTTATTTTTCTCTCATGAGTCAGACCTTGCCACAATCACAGAGCTTTTGCCTTGCTCAAGACAGAATGCTACAGCATTGTCCTGTTTTGAGGCCATGAGTGGCTAGTGGCACAGTTTTAACCTCGTGAGTTTGGCATCAAAACCTGCTCTGGGGCTGGAGAGCCAAATACAAAAACGAGCAAGTTTTCCTAGTTGCTGTAGACAAGATGATCCCAATTCTCCTCACAGAATGATTTTGCCAATGTAATTTGTCTCTGTGTCCCTGGTTTTTGAGCAGCCTTTCAAGCCCAATATTGGCAGCATATTTAATTCAAACAGCATTTCCTGTGGCATCAGCTAACTTCCATTATTTTGTCTCTACCCACTTAGTGCAGTGGTATTTACTGTAGCCGTGAGTGCCTTAAAAGACAATCAGAAGTGATTTAGAAATGCTTTGAAATGTCTCTTTGCTGAATGTCAATTAAAAGCATGTGTGTGTGGCTGACACAAGAGCACATTTGAGCATGCTTGGTGAGAGAACACTCACTGAGGTGGGGCTGGATGTCTGCTTGTGGCTTCTAGGTGTCACTGTTTGCTCTGGGACAGTGACCTCTCTTGCCATAACAAACCTGTCTCTTCACTTAGCAGCCTGTGAAGCAGCAGCTTTGCATGTGTCAGTGCAGGAAGTATGAGCCAGTCCTTTTCTAAACCTGGTCACAAACATAGTTCACATCCAGGTGGTGCAGCTGAAGAGTCAAGGACCAGATCTGGGAAGCAGAGAGTGGAGGGAATGTTAGGCAAGGTTTGAGGGATGTTTCAGGGGTGTTGACTCTGCTGGCAGGCCCTAATGAACCACTGTGATTCCCCCTCTTATTTTAAAAGTCTGTTGGGGCGAAGAAGTGCAGAAAAGGCATTTTGCAGCATAAGTCTTATGAGTAGGTGCTCCTGGTGTCAGTTAGGCTGGCAGCTCACACCTCTCATGGCATTGCCTTCACACACCCCCTTGTGTTTTGGGGAGAAGTGGTCTTTTTCTCTGTCACAAAACAAGGCTGGTGTAGGGTTGCAAGAGGAGAAAAGACCTTTTTCCTCCATCATGCAGCCAGATTTGGTGTTCTCTCTGTTCTTGGAGATGCTGTACCGACCTCTCCTGAGCCCATGTTACAGGGTATATCAGACTTTAATTTGCAAGCCAGAGGAATTATTAAAATGATCAGAGAAAGAGGAGATGGATAGGGTTCTAGGCCTGGACTGTCAAACAGCACATTATAATGCAGACAGCATAGCTTCTGCACCTCCAAATAAATGCAAGGAACAAGAACATTGTTCTTTCTTATCCATTTTACTACTCAACTTGCGTCACTGGCAGCACTTCAGATTGTGCAGGGAAGTCACATAGCCCGTGTGGTGTGCTCAGAGTGGGTGAAGCTCTATGCTCTGGACAGTAGGAATTAGGAACATTAATTATTTGTCAAAGGATGTAATCCACACAGATAGTTGTTTAACAACTCCTGCCTATGTCATTTTAATACAAGGGCATTGAAGCATTTGTTACCTTCATTGCCTTGCCAGATTTCCCATTCATTTTAGGCTTATTATAAAACTCAGAACTATCAATGCTGCTTATGTTTTTCCCAGCAGCTGTGGTGAGAAGGTAGCCAGTACAAAGTGTCAAACCTTCAGGAACCCAAACTGCCTGCAGCTGGAGAGCTATGGAAAAAAAGACAGGGTATCTGAAGAGCACACTCTGTTCTCTTCCCGTGTTTAATTACACCTTTCAACAAGCATACAAACAAGAAGGTCAAAAGCTTTGGTTTGTAAATGCAGAAACAACAGTGTACATGCTTAATATGCTTAACTGCCAACATATTTTCTGAGCAGCTGCATCGCTTAGTGAAGGATGCCTTGGCACAACGTCCCCTAGACCCAAAAAAGTCTGAAGCTAGAAGTAGATCTCACCTGTAACTCTGAATGTTCTAGTGCAGAGTGTTTAGTGATGCTGATCTTGGCTTTGAAGTGATTTGCTTTTGTGTGTGCTGATGATCTAACCTGGGAACACCATGTTTCACTTTGCAAATGGGATTCAGTTAAGGTACTGGTGAGAGAGGGAGGAAAAAAGATCTCAGATTTGATGTCTGGAAAAGACACCTGACCTTTGAGCTGGCTTGGATTTAAAGATGCACTTAAAGAAACAGTTCTATAAATGTCTTCTGTTGCTTGCAAATGCTTCACATACAACATCAGTATGTTAAGCTGTTCTTGGAGTTTCAATAAACAAGAAAAGCCCACATTTAATTCAATTTTTAACCTCTCTTGCTTAGTTTTGTGATAGATCTTTGAACCTGCTTTCAAAGGAGTTTTAATTTTCAGCATATTAAATTTTGTTTAAAATGTGATAGATCAATTCTGGGCTAAAGGAAGGGTTTGCACCAAAGCTATAAACACATCAGACTAACCCTAGGGATGAGAGTTATCCCCAGAGTTCTTCTTTGAAGTGGTGAAGGCTTTACTGACTGTTTTGCTGTTTGGATTTGTTGCTCAGTCTGAGCAGGCAACATGTCTTTTTGTCTGAGTGTAAAGCTGCTGTGTAAACATAGTTCTGTTGCTGGGCTGCATGGAGTTGAGAGTGTGCTTTGATTGGGGAAAATACTTGGGATATTCACCTTAAAGTCAAATACTTTAAGCATCTCTTGAAAAGCTTTCTGGAACAGCACAACAATGTGGAGAAGATTATTGCTAAGAGTAATGGTCTGTCTGCACTGGAATAGAAAATGAGAACATCAGAAGAGATAAGAAAATGGGCCAGAACTCTGCAACGTTTGTTAGAAACAACTAGAAACACTGCTTTGCTGCATGGAAAGAGCAACAGCCTTGTGTTCAGGGACAGTGGGCAAAAGCAATTCCACAGAGTGGTTTGAACAAATGACTTGTCTCTAAACTGGCATTGGAATCAGGTTAGGTGTTTTTTCACCTGACTTCTCATGCTTATTGAAACTAAATTGCTAATCAAAAATTACAGACCAAATGTTCTATTCTTTTTGAAGAATATCCTTTTTTAGTTCTCTTTGCATTTTATCTGCAGAAAACCTACCAACTCAAGACCAGGCCTGTCCCTTCACAGGTGAACTAGGTACCACCTAACCTGAAAATAATTACAGCCACTGCGTTAATTGAACAGACATCAGTAATTCATACGTTCATCAGAGAACATTAAGTGTGATGCTGTTTGCCAATTAGACTTGAATCAAATCAATTTTTAATTCCTTAATTAAAACCAATAACAACATATCTGGAGTTTTTAACCACAGAAACAAATTCTGTTTTTCCATTTTTTTTTTTAAAAAAAAAAGCAAATTATTCCAGGAAATTAACAGCAGTAACAGTCTGGGAGATCTTCTTCATGTGTTACCCCTATCAGCACTGCAGCAGTATCTGAAGTACTCCGGGATTTTCTGGGTAGGGAGGAATTAGAGGAGCCCTGGGGGTACATGGCTGCCAGGAGATGGCACTGCCTTTAGTTAAAGAGTAAGCAGATGTGAAAGGGGCTTTAATTTGTTTTTCATTTACCCCTTTTAACATGCTCTGGATGTGGAACTCGTTTAACAAAAGGTCAGGAGCAAACGAAATTTCAGCTTAATTGAGCAAATTCTGCAGTGATGTTAAGCTCTGCTGCCTAAGGTAAATTTGTAATCTGCTAAGTGAAAAACACTGTGGTGAAAAAGTCCATTGAGCAGGGATTTGGTTTTGTTGGCTTTTTGTGGCTTTGTGCAATAAATCCTGATTACTCGGCGCGGCCGCGGTAATGCCGAGATGAAATGCTGTGGTCCTGGTGACGTGTGTGCCGTGATGGCATGGGCAGCTATTTCTAATGCACTAATGGGAGCTTGGGGGTACAAATCTTGCAGCTGCACAGACCTTGCTGTCTTAGAAGAGCAGAACAACACCCCAGACTTGGAGCGAATCTGCTCAGATATCCTCTGCTTCTTCCAGTGTCAAACAAATCGCCCTTGGTGCAGACAGCTAGATTTTCCCACCTTGCTCAAGCAGCTCTGCTTTGGGAAGCAAAGCACCTAAAAACATGCTGTAGCTGACAAGGGGAAACCTGGGTGGGTTTATGGCTCTTTTGTATCTCTCTGGGGTGGTTGGGTAAATCTGGCCTGAAATGTTTAAGGCTCCTGTTGCCTCTTATGCCTGTCATGTTTGAGCTGTCTTCACATCTACAGTCTGTGCAGCAGAGCTGTGTTTTGGGCATGGTAGGTCACTGCCTGCCTTTTCAAAGGGCATGTCTGCTCAAAGCTTTTTTTTTTGTGTGTTTTTTCTCTCCTGCAAGAAAAGAAAAAGTTAATAATTAAGTTATTAACTTGAGAACAGTTGGTCAAGATGCCAAACATGCACAGTGGGTGCAGAGCCCAAAAAGTCTGTTGGCAGGGGTGTTGGGAGGCTCTGGCTGGCACAGGAGCTGTTCTAGCCCTCAAGGAAGGGCAGAGGAGCAGGCAGGTGAGGGCAGGCTCTAGAGCTGTGGCAGGGAGCTGGCCCAGCTGAACTCAAGAAGGCATCACTGTCCTCCTCCAAGGCACTCACAGTCTCTGTTTTCTTTGTCCTAGGACCTCAGAACGGCTGGAACGACCCTCCCACCCTGAACAGAGCTGCCAAGAAGAAGAAGGTACTCTAGGAAATCCTTCCTCAACACAATCGAGTGCTGATCACTTGAAAAAGCAATGGTTTAAGCTGTTCCTGGGAAACTTCTTGGCAGGAGAAGGAAAGAGAAGGGAGGCACTCACAGTCTCTGTTTTCTTTGTCCTAGGACCTCAGAACGGCTGGAACGACCCTCCCACCCTGAACAGAGCTGCCAAGAAGAAGAAGGTACTCTAGGAAATCCTTCCTCAACACAATCGAGTGCTGATCACTTGAAAAAGCAATGGTTTAAGCTGTTCCTGGGAAACTTCTTGGCAGGAGAAGGAAAGAGAAGGGTTAGCAAAGCAACACCTCATGATCAGGAATGGCCTTTATGCCTCTCCAGTATGCATTATCTCTCTCAAAATATTTAAGCCTCTAAAGAGGTAGTGGCTTTTTGCTAAAGTTGTGGTTGTTAATAACAACATTGATCCTGGTTTGAAGGAAATACTTCTGACTGTTTTCATCTGCAATAAAGCAGCTGAGTTTTGCCAGAGATGATGCTTAGGCGAAATGATGAGGCTGTGCAAAGTGTTGTAGATTATTGACTTTGCCGGAGCTGAAAGCAATTTATCCTGATTAAGGGTCTGACCCTGAGAGATCTGTTGAGAGTAAGACAATTTTCATGATGGAGATAATGTAGTTTTGTAAAACGGATTTAGATTGCACTAGGGCAGAATAACTGGGGACACTTGGCATGGAGCAGAGTGAGCCTTTTCATCCCCTGGTGCTGCTGTAAGTCTGGTGTATCTCCACAGCAGTCACTGTCATCTGCCTCTTGCTGACCCTGATGCATTTGGGAAGCAAGAGTTATTCTGGAGCACAGAAAATGTGGGGAGGGGAAAAAAAGGGTTCAAGCAGGCAAGATAAAGTCTGAGTTAAGGTGAAGGCAGAACTCTCCCTTACCGTTTGGGTTTTGATCTCTGCAGTTGAAGATTAAGAAGCTTTTGGAGAATGGACAGAGGACACACTGTGCTCCTGAGTGCCCCAGTGCTGGGATGTTTGTCCCACAGCAACCTGCATGTTGCCTTTCAGGGCTTCAGGCTCTGAAGTAGAAGGAAGAAAGCTGTCAGAATAACGGCTGAGCCTGAGATCTCAAGAAGCAGCTTTCTGCAAACAAGGGTTTTTCTACTGCTGTGTGTGTGTGCCACAGCCAGAATTTTTGCCATAGCCAAGGCTTGAGGGTTGGCTCCCTTCTAAATGAGTTGTGTTCATTGCATTCCCTGTTGGTGTTGAACAGATCTGTCAGTCGTGGTTCTGTGTTTGTTTCCCTTATGTCCACTGTCTGAGGGGGTGGTTTGGGATATTATAAAATGACTCACCACATGGGCTGTTATAAAATAGAAGAAACATCTGGCATCTCAAGCCATAATTTTCAACTGTTTTCCTCCTAACTAAGAATTTATTCACCACTCAAAAATTTATTGCTGTGATTCATTCATAAGTGATTTTGGTGCTGCATTGGGAATATTACTTTTTTGCTGTCCCAAACCACTAGCTTAATTCTAGCATCATTCATTCAGGGTTCTGTAATCTTTCTGTTTCTTCCATGTTCACCCAAAGAAATGCTCACATTCCCATAGAAACATTTTGTTTGGGTTCCTGTGTGATGTGTAGCAGAGGCCGGTAGCTCATTTTGTTGTTTCTTCCCTCTACCAAATGTTTCTGAATGTAGAGACTGGCAGATGCTTAGGGATGAATCTGAAATGCAGCTGTAATCTGCCTTAGTGCAAACCTGTGTGCCAGAAGCTTGAAAGGCTTTCAGAAGCTTTATTGGAGCTGTGACCTACGTACTGCATGGACAAAAATACACCCCTGAAAGTGAGACACACAAAAATCTAAATATAATGACCCGATAGTAAGAATAGATGTAGGTGTGGGTTAGTTTTCTCTTTTATTAGTGGTGGTCTGACCAAACCTCTGCTTTGTGCCCTTGGCAGAGGGAGAGTGGCTCTGGCTTGAGGTGGCTGCACAGTTTCTGTGGCCAGGGGCAGGCTGGGCAACACTGCTCCTGCTCTGTGTGGGAGGACAGGACTGGAAACACTGGACAATACTGCTGCCCCAAGGCACTTATTACTGTGCAGCCAGGGGAATGGATTTATTTAGCCAGAGTGAAATCCTGTGTTGCCACCACTGTTATTTCTGTATCCAGAGCTCTCAATTACCATGGGTTGGGTAGTCTGTAAGAACTGAGTGTTGTGCTCTGCCTGTAGCAGCCACAGCAACATAAATGCACTGTTTATTGTTGGGTTTTTTCCCCTCCAGGTCCCTGATAACTTCCTGCCCCCAGTGCCCATCACTTCCCCCATCATGAACCCGCTGGCGGATCCGCAGTCTCAGATGCAGCAGCCTCCAGCTCCAGCACCACCCACTGGTGCCCCCAGTTTCCAGCCCCCACACCTCCCTGCAGGGCAGCTGGTGCTGCAGGGTGGCTACCCACCTGCTTCCCAGCCCCTGGGGCCATCCATCCTGCCACCTTCTGTTTCCAAACCCAGCACGGAGGGAGCCCCTGGAGCCCCAATCGGCAATGCCATTCAGGTAACGTAGCCCCAGCACTGCCTGGGTTTGGTTTGTCTGTCACTGGATGCTCTTGGCCAGGCATTTCTTGTACCTGCAAAGTGCACTGCAGAGTTTTTAGTCACTAGTTTTGCACCCTGCTGGCATTTCGCTGCTGTAATCTCCACCTAGGCACTACCTTTTTGCAGTTGATACTATAGTCAGTATGGGCCAACAAGCTGCTTCCTTCTGCAACTTCACAGCTTTCCAGAGGGAGCAACAGCAGGTGCTGATAATGTCACCTCCACACACCCACAGAGGAAGAAATAGGAGTTGTGCCAAGCTAGCTAATAATGCTACTTGGTTTAGTTGAAAACAACATGTGGGCATGGTGACCTGGAAAAGCCTCACCTGGTTCTCTTTTTCTCAGCATGTGCAGGCACTGCCAACAGAGAAGATTACCAAGAAGCCCATCCCTGAGGAGCACCTTATTCTGAAGACCACGTTTGAAGCTCTTATCCAGAGGTGCCTGCTGTCTGCCTCTGATCCGGTAGGTCACTGCTCTGTTCCCAGAGTATCCCTGTGTTTGGGTGGACGTGCTGGTACCTGCAGCATGGGCAGCAATCCCAACCTCTCCCCTGATCCCTTTAAAGGCTGCTTTGAGCAGCCATGAGCACCATGTGCTTGTTGGATGTGGAAATTGAGGCCAAAGCACAGCCCAGCTGCATGAGCACTTTGAGTCTTGGAGCTCTCAGCATGGGCAGAGCCTGGTGATGCTGTTTCTGGGCAGGGAATTTAGCCCATTGCTGCCCCTGTGCTGCTCTCCTCAGGGAAGGAGGGTTAGAATTGATTTTGATGTTGACGGTTAAAATTCTAAAACCTTCAGAGAGAGCTGTCCTCCTTTCTGTCAAGTGATCCATGTGGATCCAAGTGATCCATTCCTGGTGTATTTGCTTAATTGCTTTGTATTCAGAGCAGGAAGCAGCTGCTATTATGCCAGGTCTGAGATGAGGCTCACATACATGAGCACATGCCTCAGGTTTTGATCTGTGATTTCTGATAACAAACTCATTTCCAAAGGAAGCAATTGTTAGGAGAGGAGTGGAGTGTTAGCAGCTTTAACACAGCCCCTGGAGCTGGATAGGAAAAACATTTCCCATGGCAGCCAGTGCTTTCTAAGTGAGCCATCCCTCTCAAAGCTGCTTATTTCTTTCTGGTGGTCAGTAAATAACATGCTACCCCACAACCCAGCTGCTGACTGTTCAGCTCATGCCTGCCACATGCTTAGAGCTGCTTGATGAAGGACAGGCTGGAGATGTGCAGAGAGTTTTGTGCACTCAGTGTGCTTGGTTAGCAGCACAGACTTGTGCTCCTGTTACACAGACTGGGAGCCTAGCTGTCTGAAGGCTCTGTGGCACTGCCTGTGGGATATATTGGGCATTTGGTGTCACTTCTGCCTTCTGTCTGCTCTACAATTTCAGCTGGCTCTGTGGTTTTGACTTGGCATTTGCATGTATGTGCTCCTCCTTTTCCCTTTGTGCCTCAGCACTGCAGTTTCAGGGTAGGCTTACCTACATACTCCCTTACAGAAGCTTTTTGAGTCCATAGACCTCAAGGTTCAGTAGCATTCAATTGCTCAAAATCCTTTCTTCAAAGGTTAGGCTGTAGAATGCACATATACATATTCAGATATATATATATATATATAGTATACTGCACTCCCTTTTGACCTTTTCTTCCTCTGATTGCCCCTTCTCCCAGACCAGCTAAGAAGGCAAAAGCTGCTGCTCACATCTGCACCTAGGGATTGCTTTTCTGCTCTGCCAACACATTTTCCCTGCTTCTTGTTAAGTGTCTCTGATTTTCTTAGGCAGAGCAAGTGTTTCAGCACACAGACACCACCCTGACTGTATACATCAGTTATTGTCAGAACAAATACAGACACTACTCAGTTAGTACATTCTAGAGGGGAAAATGGGAACAGGAAGCAAAGAGTGAGGAGAACAACCAGTTTGCACTTCCACCTCATTTCTTGGGCTGGAGGGATGTCTTGCTGCTTAGTAAACACAATTTATTCCTCTTTGCACTAGCTGACCATCTGTAAAATGAAAACAGCATGTGCACCTTCTCATAGGTTTTGAAACAAGTGTTCTGAAGTCACAGATCTAAGTGTCAGACAGTCTACAAGAACTAGCCAGTTTATCTGCTCTTCCTGGGCTACTTTTTCCTTACCTATCTCAGTTCCTTGACAACATAACTACTGCTGAGGAGTTTTCCACATGTGGCCCGAGATCAGTGTGCTCTGTTCTCTTTTTTTATGTCCTCTGCCATCTGAACAGCTTTCCCTAATTTCCAGCACAGCAGGCAGCCATCAAGCTGCCTTACCCCTGAGCTATAGCATTCCCATAGGCTTTGTTATTTTCTCTCTGGGCAATTATTTAATCCAGAGAAACATTTCCAGTTGCCAGGGAAAATGACACTATTCTAAGTGAAGATGGAGTGATGTGCATACTGATTCATGAGGAGGAAGTTCCATTGCTCTTGTGCTATTTCTGCTGCTGTTGACCACCAGCTTTTTTGTGCTCCTGCAATTGTAACCTTGATGCTTTATTACTGTTTTATTATTCTGAATTACAATCTACAGTTTCTGTAGATGTTTGTTTTAAAAAAAATGTGGATAAAATCATTTCTCCAGTACCTGCAGGTCCTGGGGGAATATACTGGGGTTATTTTAAGAGCCTTTGGTGGCAAAATAACTCCAGGCACATCAGTGGGTGGTTTACTCTATAAAAGCTGTGAAAACACAAAGGATCTGTAAGGACAGTTTGGGTTAGGCTATTAGTTTTTATGTTGACATTTACAAATAAATTCCTGGCTTTACTAAGCACATGGTGAAAAATATAATTAGCATTTGCCATAAATGATGACTGAGTTATACATACTTAGACTTCAGTGTCTGCATGTGTCCTTAAGCTCTCATTGACATTGCTGGATACTTGATTCCAGTAAGAATTTTATCCAGCTACCATTATGTTTTGCCAGTGAACCTTAGGAAGAAAACTGCTGCAGCTCAGAATTCTGTCACTTATCAGCTATACCACTGGGTTTTGCAAATGACCAGTGGCCTTTGGGATGCACCTCTACAGTTTCCTGTTCTCTGTAGCAAATTAGAGCAGTTAACATGTGGAGAACTACAGTCACAGCACCTGGTCTTTCCTAGCAAAATCAGGGGAGAAAAGCACAAAGAAATTAACTGTTAGGAATTTGATGGGCTGCATGGACCTCTTTGCAATCAGATCAGATCAATATTGTTTTCTTAAAATCACTGTGTTTTAATGTATTTATTTCTCTTGCAGCAAACCAAGAGGAAACTGGATGATGCAAATAAACGCCTGGAGTTTCTATATGACAAACTTAGGGAACAGACAGTAAGTTCTGTTTTACTCCCTCCCTCCCCGCAAATAAAATATTGCCAATTCATAGGTGGTGTGGACCTCTCTGCAGTATGGAGCAGGTGCTTGTTCTTTCTTTGGGAATGTGCTTCAGATGCATTTATTGATCTTTGCATGGATTTCCTAGAAAAGGGCTAGGTGTAGCCTGCTTGGCCCCAAATGCCTCTGCAGACTTTACAGTGTTTTGGGGTTATGTTGTGAGTCTTAATGGTGACTGTGCTGAGCCTAAGAGCAGAGCTCCTTGCAGCAGGCACTGTTTGTCTGCTCCCAGCAGGAAGAGAGACACACAGCTTGGGGTCAAAAAAGAACCCAGGGGACCTAGATGTTGGGGCTTCACTGGAAGACAGATGTGCAAGTACTTTTGAAGATATGATCATTTTTCCAAAGCCTTCCAGGGTATCTGTGGCAGAATAAAGGACTGTGCTTAGATGTCTTAGTACTTCAGGATTAGAGTGATCTAATCCTGTTTTGTCAGGCCATGTTTACTGAGAAATTAGCTTTGCCCCAAAGGCATAAAAGCTCAGTAGGTTTTTCATGTGCCACAGTCTGTCACAGCAGGTCTCTCAGCCTGGGGAATTGCATCCAGGGGCTGGCAGAGAAGCCTTGCAGGGCTCAGCAGTACTACAGGGAAGGTATGTTCTGGTTGATGTCTACTGTTAGACTTCCCAGTGACTGTTCCCAGTGTGATGCAGCTGTGAAGGCTATCTCTAAAGAAAGGACCTAATTGCTGCACCTTCCCGAAGGTGCTACACTCAGAATCTGTTTTTCTAGTACTAGTGGGGGGGGTTTTTTTAGTGCTGTTTTTCCTTTTTGCTGATCAGCCTTGCCTGGCTTCCTTGCAGCTCTCTCCAACCATCATTAGTGGTTTGCACAACATTGTGAAGAGCATTGAGACCCGAAACTACCAGGAAGGACTGAACATCCACACACACATCGTCAGCACCAGCAACTTCAGCGAGACCTCTGCTTTCATGCCAGTTCTGAAAGTTGTCCTCACCCAGGCCAATAAGCTGGGGGTGTGAAGTAGCCCTGCACACTTACTTGCAAAGCCTTGATGGTTGCTGTTCCAAAGAAGTGCATTTCTACAGCAGAACATGCAGGAAATGGACCAAACTCTTGTCCTCACAGCATGTCGCGGTAGAGCGCTGACAAACGGCATTGCACCCTCCCTGCAAAAAAAAATACTTCGTTCTAGAAGGGCTATGGAGCCCTGGTGCTTTTCTTTTAATCCTTTTCCCATCCCTAATGATTCGCATCTGCAAATAGTGTATTTAATGGATGATGTCTCATGTTGTCAGTTTTTAGATGCATGTTATACTGCTCAACAGCGGCTTTTAATAACAGATGTACGTGTTAAACCAACAGGATAGGTTGTGTATCAGACCCTAAACCAGAATATTTCCTTCCACCCCACCATTCCTTGTCTACCAGATTAAAACCAGTCTGATCATGTTATAAGTGTATTTGGTCTCTCATTTTATGAAGCTGCTTGCAGTTCTCTTATAACAATTTACATGTGAAGTTGCTTAATTGTGCACTGGGGCAAATGAGTTAAATAAAGGCTAATGTGATATTTTCAATAAATGGAAGTTTATTAAAATGTGTCTTTATGAAGTGCAATGTAGAGATTTGGAACCTGGAGTACAGTGGGGCTGCTTTCTGTTGTGTCCTGGGCATGAGGATATTTTTCTTTCTCAATGCTTATCACTAAAAGCTCTCTGTTTATGCCTAGAGTTACATCTCAAGGAGAGGTTTACCAAGGATTCTGGACACATCTGTGTGTATTTTTAAAAGCTAAGAGTGGAAATAACACAGAGTTTTAAGACACCCATACAGAGACAAGAATATTTAGTGTGAAAACTAGGTGCAAATTGTTTCTTGCAGTGCCCTGAACCAGGAGATTGTTGCCTCTGCTGCACTGTGTACCTGCTTCTGCTAGCCATTAGCAAGTTGGGTCAGGTGAGTTTCACAGCACACTGTCCCTTCCTGTGGCACAGCTGGAGTTGGCTTTAAGTTTTAAAATCTTGAAACAGTGTGCCATGAATAGCAAGTCTGTGTAGAAAGGACAGTGGTTGGAATAAGCGTCCATGTTTGAAAAAAAAAGAGGCAGTTTTGCCTGAAAACTACTTAAAATATCAGTGCCTATGGAGTGTAGGTTTGGCAACACATACTGCAAGAAATATTATAAATGACAATGCAAATCACTGCTGACTTCTGTGACCTAAACAGATTTGTCAGGCAAAACAGTTTTATTTCCTTTCCAGCATTTTCTTACCTCGTAAGATTTTGTAATAGGTGAGCATAAAGCATCCACTGGGAGCTGTCTTGTTTCAGGAGCTTAGCAAAACAAATGGAGTCATTTTCTTCCCCTTCATCTAGTTTATAGGTTTCTAAGCAGTGTTATAAGTATTCTTGTACTTAGGTAAATATATTTGTCTAAGTATATTTACAACAGTGTATTCAGCCCCTGTAATTTGGAAGGTTTGCAGGTTATCCTGCTTTAATCATCATGCCCTTGATAAAAGCTCTGGTATTGGCTGAATCACATCAAAAACATGATGTTGATGATGCCAGAACCTGGTACTAAGGAAGTGGCAGTCTACCTCACTGGGGAAAACTATTTGGATCCCTAGCCCCACTCCTGATGGCTGGGACCATGGGATCTAGTAAGTACTTTGCTGCACTTCCCAACCCAAGATGAGATTGGTAACAGCTTGGTGTGCTCCACATGTGTCACAGATTGAAGAGTTTCTTTAACAAGAAGAGACTAAATAAACTTTGCTTGTTCACCTAGTGAAAAGCACAAGGGAATCAGATTGATAGGAACTAAAGAGCAGTGTTAGCAAGAGAACAAATGTGGTATGAGCTGGCCATGTGCAAGTTTGGCCTGGAAGTTGAAGTGGTCACAAATAAGACCACCAGATCAGAGAGAAACACTTGGGGTTTTGAGGTGATAGTATGTTAGAGTGCTGTGATGTTGTACCACCCACCTGGACACCACATCAGCTATGGAGTAATATTGCTCTCCTTGCTGCAAGGAAAGCTGTATTCAAATTCAGCAGTTGTCAAGAGCTCAGGCCTGGAAAACTGCACTGCCCTGGTACATAACAGGAGTGGATGCAAAAATCTGCTACTGCTCTCCTGAGAGCAGCTAAGATGAATTATCAGTTATGCTGCCGTCTGTTCATATCTTCAAGGAATGCCAAGCAATTAGCCACCCATCTGATGTTATAAATGCAAACAGCCACTTTCCTTTACAGAAGGCAATGAAGCCCTGCCAACTTAGGCTGGTGAAAGAATTTGGCCACAAATAGCCTAATTTTGATCTCACTGAGTGAGAGGAGATTTATACCATGACATTATCACCAACCAAGCTAATCTTCTTTGCAGCCCCCCAAGGCAGCAGAATTAGAAGGAAAAGGGATGGAAGGAAACTCCAAGATGTAATTGGGCAGTGTGGACAGTTGACATGAGGAGGTACCTTGCTACTTCAGCAATCACCATCCAGGCAAAAAGCCCAGCAGGAGAGTTTCTGGGAAAGGACAGTATTAATGCTGCTGTCTCCTGTTTGCTGGGGAACAAGTAGGGATGTTGCAGAGAGGGCTGACTACAGGCAGGACATCTAAGATAAGTACTTGAGTGAAAACCTTCTGCTTGCAAAGCTCTGCAATGGATTTACCTTGATGCTGCTGGCAGAAGTCCAAGGTCAGCATTAGACATGGATGTTGGAGATTTGTTTTCTAATTGCTGTTGCATTCCTAGCCCTGCAATGTTTACATCAGAGTTGCTCTGTTTTGTGCCTTTCAGGCAGCACAACTCCCTGAGATACAGACTGGGAATGTGGGTTTACTGTTTAGTAACTGTATGCTAGACTGATTGGGCTATTGAGAAAGAAGGGAGGGTGGTCTTGCTGCCATAGCTGTTTCCTCCCAAAGCTATGGAGGGGAGGGGGCAGTTTTGGAATGTCTGGCAGAGGCAGCATGCAGAGCAGTGGCACCACTCCCCAGAGTTCTGCAGGCTTCCCTCACCTCCATCCTCACCCTCACCACCACCTGGTACTTTGTTTCAGCAACACAAACCCCAGAGCAACACAACCTAGGCAGAGTGTGGAGGGCCAGACATAAACATATTCTGTCTCAAACGTTCTGACTGTGATGACAGGTAGGATGTGATGGGAGCAGAGGGTCCTGTGGAGGTAGGACAGTGTGTTCTGAGCTAACTCCCTGCTTTACCTGGAGACTCCTGCTCAGCTCCTCACCACCACCCCCGACTCACTCCCTGGAGGAGGCTCGAAGGGGCTGTGGACACACAAACAGAACAGTGTGAAAAATCTAGTTTACATAAGAGGCTGCACCAGGTTACCTATAAAAGGGAGGAGATCAAGACCCATCCATTTCTCTTGTTCCCGCTCTCTCTTTTTCCTCTTTGTTTTCACTCTCATGCTTTTCCCCAGCTCTGGAACATCCATGTGGCAGGACCAACATGGGATCTAAGGACTGGTGGTTTTCTGTGTTAGCTCTCTCCCACTGTGCTTTGCTTGTGCACAGCACAGCTCTCATACCTTACCCCCGTGCTCTTCACTGAAGTTTGTTGGGGGTGTGGGGAGATTGTGAAAAGTGGAGTTGTGCCCTGTGAGCAGCACCTTTGGCTTCTGACCCTGCACCTTTAAGAGGTTTGCTGTGGGAATTGAGAAGTTACTGTACTGTACAAATTAAAGGCCTGTTATCTTCCACTCTTGTGGAAGTCGATTGTATAAATTTAAGAGTTTGTTTGCTAACACCTTTTGGATCTAAATATTGAGTTAGTTGCCAGAGTTATAGTGACTGCACAATAAAACCTAAAGTTCCCTGACACGTGGTCCTGTGTCTTGGTTCAGCCTGATGAGAATTGATAACAAACATCACAGCCCCTGCAGGTGGATCTTGACACAGAGCAGCATGTACAGAGCCAGGCAAGGCTCAAAGCTGAAGGGAAAAACAGACTTACACAGCCAAACATCTGCCACCAAGTGACAGCACCTTCCCTGCAGGGGTTGTTGAGCATCCCTTTGAGGTGCCTGGTGCTGAGCTGAGTCTCTCAGCCTTGAACAAGGGCCAAGGCCACTGTCTGAGTACACTGAGGAATGCAGTAAATAATGTACTGCTACCAGGAACAGTTTCAATGCATTCAATCTCCCAGCCTTGACTTGCTGTATGCTGAATTGATCATTCCCATGTTTGCTCTGCTGGTCCTGCACATTAAACATACATCACCAACTGGCCAGTCAGGATGGATGTATGGTTACAATTAATGCAATCCTTACTCAAAAGAGGCTAAACTGATTAAAATTCCTAGGAGCTTTAGAGCTGAAAGTTAGCCAGAAGAGCATCTAATTAAGAGAGGATTTATTAAGGAGCACCCTAAAAAGGCAACTGGAGCTGACCTCACCAGTAAGCCTGTCTCTGCCTGGACAGCACATGGAAGACTTCTTGGGAACACATTGTTCAAATTCTTTGCCAGGTACAGAAGCAGCACTTCAATTCACAAACACCGAACACACATTTCTTGCCCCTCTGAGGTGTTAGACTTTGTTTCCTTCTTTACCACTTAAAGTGTTCATTTGAACAATACTTTGGGATCATTACTTCATTTTCAATGGCAGGAGAGAAGGAATTAAAAAGGCCAGATGCTAAATAACTGCACTGAAATGTGATGGTAGCAGGCAGGACTGAGTAGCATTCAAACAATACTCAGTGTTCACATGAACCTTCACTGCCTTTCATCATTGCTGCCCTTTCTGTCTTCCAGGTGGAGAATTCTAGAAGAATGTTTAATCAAAAACAAAAACAATCTTGGATTTAATTATATGCTCTAAGCTAATTCACTTGCCTCAGGGGGTGTAGTTTGTAATTAATTAGCACAGCAGACTAAGGTGATTTGTACCAATATCCCTCATAAAGCCACACTCAGCTGAGTCCAGAGCTGTGTCCCTAGTGATATCCCATCAGGAGTTGAGGCCAGTGCTGTGCTGGGAGCACTTTGGGGTGGAGGTGAGATGGTGTGTGCCTGTCTCTCCCTGCCACACTGCTCTCAAACCCTGGCAAGAACCTCCCTTGGAACTCCTCTGGGCAAATTTCTGAAGGCAGAGAGGGGTCAGGTCAAATAACTGCAGAAGGACAAGTAAATTCTGGAGCTATGCAACATTAGGGCATGTTTTTTGCTGTTTATTAAACCTTCGTGATAATAAAAAACATAAAACTCCTTGTCTAAGACATTGCAAAAGCCTTTTGAGCCCTTTGCAGCCTCAGCTCAAGATTACAGTCCCAGCCCAACTCACCTCAATGCCTAGAGAGCCTCTAGGGCTTGGCAGTAAGGATTTTTGGTGGCCTCACCCCGAGAAGCTACTGCTGCCACACAGAGCACAGCACAGCAGGCAGGGCCATTCCCTGTGCTGCTCTCTGCAAAGTGAGACAAGAAAA